TCTCTCTCTCTCTCTCTCTCTCACTCACTCACTCACTCCTTTCTTCCCGGTTGCCGTGCTTGTGACTTTTTTTCCCCTGCTGCCGTGCTCATATTAGTTATCTAACTACAGCTGTATCTTCTTCTTGGTTCTGTTTGTCCGCTTATGATTATATTTTCTTTTCTCTTATTATCAGTGGGACCATTGTCATTAGGTTTAGGCCTGTTTTGGAACTCCACTTTAAATAAAGCCAAACAACAACAACAACAACCGAGTGGCTGTGCTGACTATCAACCTGCCTTCACGGGCGGGCAATGGAGGCACCAAGGCATCCACTCTCGCCATTATCAATGTGTACGCACCAACGTCTTCGTTAGTTGCCCGCGACGCTGATGAATTGGACAAATTCTATTCCGACTTGAATAGTGCATATAATCAAATAAAATCGTCAGCTATCGTCCTCTTCGCTGGAGACTTCAATGCTAAGGTTGGGAAAAAGTCGGATGCAAGAGAAACATGTTGTGGGAGGCAGGGTAGAGGGAAAAGGAACCTGAGTGGCCAAAGCCTGATAGACTTTTGCCATGCTAGTGACTTGTTCATCTGTAACACTGCCTTTCAGCATAATGCAAGGCATGTGACTACTTGGACAGGACATCGCAGGGATGGAGCCAGTGGAGCTACTGTTCCTGTGTATAACCAAATAGATTACGTGCTGTGTAAATCTACCCAGAGGCGGCTTCTCCTTGACAGTCGTAGCTATGGTGGATGCACCCTCTCGTCTGACCACAGGCTCGTTGTTGCGCGGTTGGACCTCCAGAGGCTATATGGAATATTTGGACAGAGGAAGAAAGATGATCTGCAGGCGCCTAAGTTCAACACATTCAAACTAGCCGAAGGACAAGTCCAAGAGGAATATGCTGAGAAGTTGGCCAGTGAGCTGCTAGCTGCCGATCAGGTCCAAGGCAATACCGGCCTGCAGGAAAGATCCCGGAGGCTTATGGAAGTGGTCAGGAGTGCAGCAGGTGATGTCCTTGGCACAGTCCAGCAGAAAACTCGTCGCAAAGCACCAGATCATGAAATTGAGCTGCTGTCCCTGGAACAGAGATCACTGCGGATCAGCATTGGTAGCACTAACAACCCTGACACCAAAGCATCTCTCAAGACGAAACGAAACAGAATCCTTCACGCTATAAGAACAAAATGCCGAGACAATGCAGAGAAAATTATGCAAGAGAGAGCAGCGGAAGTCGAGAGGTTGAAGAATGGAGCACGGATGTTCAAAGCAGTCCAGCTGATGACCAGAAAGCCAAGCCGAAAGCCCATTGTACATGACCAGAAGGGTCGCTTCATAGCCGATGACCAGGAGGCGGCATCTGCGGTCCGGAGCCACTTCCATGACCAGTTTCGTGGGAATGTGGATGCAGGCGTCGAACCATTCACCGGTCGCCCAAGAAGCCTCCAAAGACAAATCTCATCTGCTGAGGTCTCCAACGCACTAAAAAAACTGAATAATGGAAGGTCCCCTTGCCCAGATGGAGTCCCAGGCGAACTCTTGAAATATGGAAGAGAAAACCTGGCACCTCACATTGCCTGTCTGTTCAACAGCATGTTTACAACTCACCAGCACCTTGACCTGGGATGTGGCACACTGGTACCGTTGCAGAAACCAGGAAAGACGGTTGGACCACCTGGAAATCTGCGCCCTATTGTCCTCCTTACATCATTACGCAAAACGCTCTCCATTATTACATTGCGAAGAATATCGTCGAAAGTCGGTGAGCACTTGTCTCCGACGCAGAGTGGTTTCAGAGCAGGCCGATCTACAGCGGACCTTGTTTGGAGCCACAGATGGTTTGCAGCAACATGTCAGCATTATCGGCGGGAAATGACCATTCTTGGAATCGACATGTCCAAAGCATTCGACTGTATACATCGTGACAAACTGTTGACAGTTCTCGAGTCTTTCCTGACGGAGGATGATGTTCGGCTGGTTAGAGTGCTGTTGACCAACACAACTCTGCAGGTACGCATCGGCAGGGCAGTATCAGAGTCCCTTGAAACTACAATTGGCACCCCGCAGGGTGATTCTCTCTCCCCGGTGTTGTTTGTTATATACTTAGAGGCAGCACTGAGAGATCTGAGGAGCACCCAGGTGGCACGAAACAGACCGCCAATGGATCAAAGCATCAACATTCCATTTGAGCTTGTCTACGCAGATGACACTGATTTCATAAGCCTTAGTCGTCAATGGCTCACAGAGCTCGAACCGGTCATAGACCACACTCTCGGGCAGTGAGTCAACAACACCAAAACTGAGTGGACAGAGCTGGGTCGATCTGTAGACAGAATTGACGAGCGCTGGAGGACATCCCGAAAGCTGGGCTCACTCCTGGGCGACCTTGAGGATGTGACACGTCGCAGGCAATTGGCCGAGGCTGCCTTCCGATCCATGTGGTCTCTTTGGAAGCGCCGAGGACTGATCCGAGAGCCGCTGCGTATGAGGTTGTACTGCGCCTTTATCATGCCGATACTTCTCTATAATTCAGGCACCTGGGGCCTGACGGTTGCTAGCGAACGCTCCCTGGACGCTTTCCATAGAAGGCAACTCAGGTCACTTCTCGGCATCACATGGCCACAAAAGATTAGTAATTTGGCGTTGTATGCCCGATGTGGAGTGGAGCCGGTGTCGGACTTGATCCGAAATTCACGCTGGAGTCTATTCGGGCATGTGCTTCGCCTGGGTAAGGACACGCCAGCACGATTGAGCATGGAGCAATACTTTCAGGCACCCGAGGGGAGGTACCGTGGGAGGCCGAGGGTGACACTACCAATAAAGCTCCACACCGATCTGTCCCAGTCGAACAATGGGCACCTGCGGAGTGTTGAGGACTTGCGACGTCTGGAGCGGATTGCTGTGGACCGTCCAGCATGGAACGCGCTGGTGAAGAGTGTTTGTGCACACCCTCGTCACGAGTAGAAACAGCCATGGCACCCTTAAAAACTCATAACAACCATTCTATAATAATATTACTATTTGAATCTTTTAAATAATTATCTGGCAACTCAACCTCATACGTATAATTATCTGGCCACCCATTGACCATGATGCTACATGAGGAGACAATAGTGATGACATTCCAATGAGACCAATTTTATGACGCTCCATGTTACTGAAGGACTAACTTCGATCATTGGTTTTGTAGAGCCCCATTCTCTAGGAGCTGTCTACATCTGCTTTGTTTCAATGTCCAGCATAAGCGAACGTGTGGATCAAGCATAACTGCTTGGTTGACGCTGCCGCGGGAATGCGTATAATAATAATAATAATATTCATGCAATGTAAAACTGTGGAGACAATGTGAAATAAAACGATGAAAATAGGAAGAAATAGTGTAGAGAAAAATATGGATTCAAACAAGTTTTCGTACAACACTCATCAGGAATCGTCGTTGTACTAAAGGACACTGAAACAAAGTTGAACTAATATCTAAGTTATCAATAAACTGTTGAATGGTACCTTTTGGCTGTTGATTAATACAAGAAACTAACTCTCCTCCTCCATGCGCTCTAAAGCCGACCATTTTCCTAGAACCAAGGGCTTTGAGAATGTTCTTGGAACTTCTCAGTGTTACACCTTACCTAGTTTCTTTCTTGCGCCCATAATAATTACACCGTATAAAATCAGTATGCCATGTCAATTACAATATCAGTATCACCTTCTCTGACGAGCCTTTGATAGGTGAAACAGCTGTCAGAAGGAAATGTTTTACCCGTGACCCCTTCGTTGTTTGACGTTATTGTTGTGAGTAATGGCTACCGAGGGTAGCAATGGTCGGCTTTAGAGCGCATGGAGGAGAAGAGTTAGTTTCTAATATCTAAGTGAGAGAAATAACACTAAGAACAACAGCAGTGAAATTTACAAGTGTAAATTTTAACAATAACAGCGAGAGCAATCATGAATGCGTGTGCTAGCAATAAACTTACAAATGAAAAATGAACAAACAAGAGAAAGAAAGAAGGAAGGACAAAGTGATCACACATAACAGCAGTACATTTCACCTGGAACATTAACGGCCAAGCTTGGCCACACCAAACACGACACGTTACTTGAACAATTTCAAAGTAATTATACTATCTTTCTGTACACACAAATTAGGGGTGTGCAGACGCTGATAAATGGCTTCCAAAACTTTTAATTGTAGTCCGTTACCATGACAACCACGGCACAATACAGTGAAAGAAGAGTCGAAATATGAATTGCAACAATCAGGAATAGCTAGCAGATGATTTTACACTGAAGACTTTTTATCACGAAACCTACACACAACACCGACACTCGCACCGACACTCGCACCAACACTCGCACCGACACTCGCACGACCGCTCTCCTCATCGCTCTCCGACTCACTGCTTCCTTTGCCATCCGTTTCATCCTCCGATTCCTCTGCTTTCTCTCTGTTTCGTCCATCCCGCCTGGTCCGGTCCATTGAACTTGACTCGGCCGTCAATCTGCTGTCACGTCCCTCCATTCGTCCTTGCCAGTTGAATGCGTAGCTTCTGTTGCTTTGGCTGTTGATCGTCTTGGTCTTTCAATAGTGGGATTGCATGGTGGATTAGTTGTGGTTGCTGTAGATTGCGTTGTTGGTGTTGGTGTGGGAGCTGGTCATACCCAAGGTGGGTCTTTTTGAGTCGGTAATTGTAGTGTTGCGATCACTGTTGGTGTTGTTTGTGGCCTGCCACTGGCAAGCTCCACCGCCGCAAGAACCGCCGGCGGAGGATCAGGAGGAGGCAATGGGACAGGGATCGCAAGCGGCAGCACCTCAGCTTCATTTTTTTCATTTTAAATTATTGTTTTATACATGGTTATGAAAGTAGAAAGGAAAAGGACATAATTATGGAAATGAGTTAAGAGTTATGAGTTATGAGTGCATAATTAATTTTATTCATTGCTATATTACGACTTTTGTCTCCTCGATTGTTATTTAAAAGTGAATGTTCTTGGTATTTCTCTTGTTCCACAGCAACAATCAGCTGGGTTCGTGAATCTGTATATGCAATTGACAGGCGAGGTTTGGCATCCCTGAATGATGCTAAAAGTGACTGTAAAAAACTAAATGGAAGACTACCTGCAACAATCGATGACGTGTTGACGGCATCCCGTGTATTTGAGTGGGGACCATTTTGGGCCGTATATGGAGATAGAAGTTTCTTCAGCCTTGATGAAGGAAGAGCTAGATCAAGACCGTCGATAGCTGAGGGCGCCAAGACGAGAATGATTCGGAACTATCTTTGCATTGTCGGTAAGTGTGCACCACAGGGAGGGAAGGTGCTCACAACCAACACAACACACAAACACACACAACCAACACACACACACACACACACACGCACACAAACCTGTCCTGTCCTGTAGAGTCACTGCCGCAAAAGGGTCACGTGATCCCATCACTGGGAAACTTGAGAAGAGAGAGAGAGAGGACACGACTCCCGATGACGCTCCAGGTGCACGGGTAGTCGCATCCGCTTGCCGCATATGCACACGTGCTGGAAGGCTGAGCGCTCCTCTGCTGTTGGTTTATGCGCCACCCTTGAACAGCGATGCCTGCCCCGTCTGTCTGTCCGCACACAAACACACACACACACATACACACTCACACACACACACACCTGTCCTGTTCTACCCTGAACATTGCCGTAAAACGGTCACATGTCCCCCCATACGAGGGGCCGACAGACATGGGGTAGGTCGTTGAATATGGTACGCAGCGCGCTCCGCAGGCTAGCGGCCAACGAGAGTTCGGGTATACTTTACGCAGCTGTGGAGTTGGAAACCCCTCTTTGATCGGCAGCATCTGCCACATGCGCTGCAATGAGCCTGGCAGCAGGGTAGTGTTAGCTGAGTCCTCGCCGGCACTCGTACTGCTGCAGCCGAGTTGGGCGCAGACAAAGGAGGGTCCGCCACTGTGCCTGTAGAACGATTGTCGTCAGGTCGACACTTATGGACAGCGAGGCCTCCGGCGCTCCTGAACCATCTCTTACACGCCAGGCATTTCCTGCTCCCAATCTGATCTGCGATCGGCTTGCTGCGCTCCTCTTTTCACTTGTGTCGGGCCATCCCACTCTTCGACAGTGACCGGCCAGAGACTGCGCATGGTGTTCGTGGTTGCGGGCATGGTCCAGATGATGCAACGCTGGAGTACGCCCCTCGCCATTCACTGCGCTCTTGTGCCAGGTCAAACCATTCCTCATCGCCCAGGTCGAGGCATCGAACACCCACTCCCACGGCGTCACGCCACCTCTTCCGAGGGCCACAGGCAGGACGGGTCGGCAAGAGGGCGCCAAACGGTAGCTGACGCGGAGTACGCTCCTCCTCCATTCTGCAAAGATGACCAAGCCACTCCATTCGGTGACGCAGGAGCCGGGTCGGTAGATCGTCTTGTCTGGCAGAGTTCCAGATTGCCAGAACCTCTGTGTTAGTCACACGGGATGTCCAGATGTCAAGTTGAGTGATGCCCAGGATCGAACGGATACATCTCATATGGAATGTCGAGAGGGTGGCTACATCCCGGCTCAGCGGCACCCAGCACTCATAGCAGTAGAGCAGCAGGGATACAACACATGCCTCATACACCTGGCACTTAGTGGCAACTGATAGGTTGCGGTCCACGGACACTAGGGAGGTTTAGTCCCACGTAATCCGTGGGTACTTTACGTGGGTGTACCACGTGATACTCAGTGACCCACGTACAGACGTTTTCTGACTCACGACATGCCGTGTATGGAGGCTCACCCACGTTCCGCCAGAACGTGGGTGAAAATTAGAATGGAGCGCATTGTGCAAGCTGTGAGGGTGCTCACCTGAAGAAGTTTCCGAAGCACGAAATCAAAATATTCGATGAGCTTCTTAGGCCCGGGTAGCTTCGTCTTTGACCAGGTTTGGGCCTTTCGCTTTATGCTTTTGTTTGTTCCGTGTGACTAAACACAACATTGCAACGTGGGTGCCCTTCATCCACTTTACGTGGATCACCCACGTACGCGTTTCCGTTACGTGGGAACTAAACCTCCCTACTGTACGACGCAGCGCCCCGAAGGCCCTCGATACTCCAGCAATGCGTGACACACACACACACACACACACACACACACACACATACACACACAAAAACACAAACACAAACACACATATACACACACAACCAACACAACACACACACAGACGGGCTGAAAGTCTTAGCTATGAAGAACGTTGGTGGATGTACACCTACTTCCTCCGCGCAGGCAAAATTTTAGCTTCTCTCCTTCAGCCCAATGACAGGTGTCTGACAGTAATTTTTGCATCTTGTGCACTTCACCATCACACAAATCTGCTGGTTCAGGCGTACCAGTTCCAAACAAGTCGGCAAAGAGTAAAGAAACACCTAGAGTAGAGCGTGTTGAACGCGAGTGAACTGGTAAAAAGACACGAAGTCAGTCACTGGTCAAGGTGGGTGGCTGGCTGCTAGAGTACCACTGGAGTACAGAGCAGAGGTGTCATGTTGCGAAAAGCCAGCGTGCTTGATTGCATCCGGCACAAGATGTGTGTACGGTAAAATGCACGTGAGCTTGAAGCTGAGAAAGCCACTCAGCGATGCTCGCCCACATACTGCAAACGAACCAGAATCGGCACTGGGCAAAACAGGCGGAAAAGAAAGGCTTCGATGACAGGGTTGTCACTCACCCAGCTCATTTGCCTGATGTCAACGTGAACGATCCTGCAAAGCGACGCTGAGCTCGTCAGCTTCGGCTGGTAAGAAACACGACCGATCGTACTCATGAAGGAGTGAAGCGCTTGGAAAAGTGTCGATACGAAATATTTGCGCTTCTGGAAAGTGCGAAGTACTACCCGACAACAAGTGCTGCGTCGGCTGATGACAAAGGATGACTTCTACATGTTTCGACTTGGAGAGTTTCTCTTGATGTTCAACGACTCCTCAACCCATTCTTAGTCGTTATAAGCCGTTCTGAGAACCTGGAATGTATCAGTAAAATGTGAAAAGATAAGCGAAAACTTTGCTTGGGCGGAGGGAGTATGTTTGATAACGATCCTGGCAAGGCCATTGGGCAATACGGTCAAACCGCGCTTCACTAGACAACCTTAGCAAACAACGGTAACGCTATTTTTACGGTACTCGTACCTTGATCACCCAAATAGCGTTGAAGCTGCAGCGTATAAACGTTATGGGGGCTGATTTATCGTTGTGACCAACGGTACGTGTTTTGGCCAAATATTGCATAGTCCGTACGCATATCACCTTGTATCGCGTATATTTATTATTATTATTATTATTATTACTTGCATGTACGCGTTGGAGTCGACCATGCAAGCATGATCCACAACTTCGCTTATGCTAAACATGATATACAGGACTATGACAGGGGAAAAAATCAGCTAGAACGATGATAATAATAATTATGATACTTATATCATAATAAGAATACAATGTAGCTCATGGGTATTGAAGATATGTCATTTATGAATATGTCTATAATTATGAATATTGCAGCCTGAGTGATAATGATAGTGCTATTTCCTGAGTTTGACTGTTTCAGGATCTGTCGGAATATCACAATGCACAGACCCTCATGCATAGATCTCGCCATGCTGGTCTGTCATGGGCAATGGCTCCCAGGCTCTGCAGAGCGTCTACTATTGAACAATCCAGCATTGGCTTGGCGCAGATCTCCCACCATAAAAACTACAGCCGCGAACCACGTAGTGGCGTATATGGTGACAAAAATGGTTGTACCGCACGAAATCAAAGCTACTCTCGTGGCAACAGCGTACTAAAAATAGCGTGCATCTTGCTAAAGGTCGAACCCAAATCACGGTATTTTCCCCCTTACGATAATACCGTTACAACATAATGTTTTTTGCTAAGGGTGTCTAATGACGCAAAACAACAACCCACGCAACTTGTATAGCTCTAGTTATTCTAACATCTATTACAGGGAAAACTACGCCAACAAAAATCATTCAAAGTCGAGCGCCTCAGTAAAATAGTACTGCTATTCGACTAAGGTAATTTAAATGGACAATATTAAAGCAGAAATAACAAGCAGCAATTTCACAATATAGCTGACGGCTTATCGGGTACGCAAGGATGGACTTAGGCCGATTCCACACTACGCCAGATCCTGTCTAAAAAGCCACTTTTCAGGCAAGTTGCCATGGCGATCACTTTGAGAAGCGGGTTTCGGCACCAAATTTTCAAGTCGTGACTCGCGACATCATAAGAATCCCAACTCAACGGACATGAAAGACAATTAAAGGGGAAGTTAAGGCAAAAATTAAAATTTCACCAGTTGTAGTCTTCGGGGTGCTGAGTCGAATGGTCGTGGCCCGAGGAAGCTGAGACGCTCCCTTCCTTCTTTTTTCCCAATCGAACTCGCGCACTTCCACCGAAACTGGGTAACTGCGCCCTACTTGATGGGGATTTGTATGCAAAATGTCACTAAAAGCGCCACTTCGTTCTTATAAAAGCATGGATGACCACGATTGGCCCATATGTTGTAGTCTTTTGGACGCTGAGTCGACTGGTTTTGGTCCGAAAAGGCTGCGATGCAGCGTTCCTCCTTTATTCCCACTCGAACATGGTTGAGCAAGCGGTCACATGCTCCTGCGTACACCAGTCACCTGGTCACCGTGCCTGCAGGGTACAACTTACTAGCCTGTTTGACTTTTTGGCTGCAGTCCTGTCACTCGAGTTGAACTCGAGTTGAACCTTGGCATGTTGGTGTGAAAGTAACTAGTTGTCGCCTGCTGGCGTCGTGACCAGGTGATTTGGGCACCCAGGAGCACGTGACCGCTTGTTCAACCATGTTCCATTGGGAAAAAGGAGGAACCCTGCATCGCAGCCTTTTCGGATCAAAACCAGTCGACTCAGCGTCCAAAAGAGTACAACATATGGGCCAATCGCGGTCATCCGTGCTTTTATAAGAACGAAATGGCGCTTTTAGTGACATTTTGCATACAAATCCCCATCTAGGAGGGCGCAGTCACCCAGTTTCGGTGGAAGTGCGCGAGTTCGATTGGGATTCAAGTAGGAAGGGAGCCTCTCAGCTTTCTCGGACCAAGACCATTCGACTCAGCACCCCGGAGACTACAACTGGTGAAATTTTAATTTTTGCCTTAACTTCCCCTTTAACGTTTCTTGATTTGGAAAGTTTGTTTCTTTGTTTCTTTCTCAAACAAGATCTATTTTCAACAGAAAAAGGCAGCTGCATCCACAGGCAGCTGCGCACAAAGAACATGCATAAAAAT